ATTATGTTTTGTATGTATCAATTATTACATCATATATAGGGTTAAACATTTCGGTAAAATTATCATTCAGTTGCAAATTTAGTTTGCTGATTTTGTAAATGTGAAATCTTTCGTATGTAGCCAAGGTTCGGCCTTTCTTGCTGATATATAAAACTTCTAATGTTTTGTCTATCGTACTATATTCATGGGTGGTGTCCAATATGTGTTGAGCAAATTTGGAGCTTTGTCCGTTATTTTTTATGTCTCGTATGTGTTCTTTGAATCTGACCTTAAAGGCATGTCCGGTCTGTCCTGTATATTTTAATGGACAGTCAGAACATTGTAGTTGGTAAACCCCACTAAGATTATACATATCATTTATTTTTAACAGATGTTTTATATTGTTTTTGTCTTATATGAGATACCAACTTCAGTATTCTTGAAAACTTTAGTAATAGATCTGATTTCATGGCTGAAGTAGGTAAAGGTGGTCCATTTATTTTTCTGCATAGTACTTTTTGTGGAGGGTTTTTGTGTTAGTTGTATGGTATTTTGTGGGTAGTTATTATTATTTAAAATAGTTCTAACAATGTTTTCTTCTATGTTTTTATTGTTATGCGAAAGGGGATATTGATTCAATCAATTAATTAGAAAGTTTATAGCAGCTTTTTGTGTTCAAATGGGTGACATGAATCATTTTGGATGATTAGATCAGTAGTTGTAGGTTTTCAACAGATTCCTAGTTGTAGATTTTCGTGTTTTTTTTTGATGGATAAATCTAAGAAGCTGATCTTATTATTTATTTCTCTTTATATTGTGAATTTGATGTTAGGGTGGATATTGTTGAATTCATACAACATATTTTCAATGTTAGTTATATGGGAATTATAAATGACTAAAATATCATCAACATATCTATAATAATCAATTATTTGGTATTTCATCAAAATATCAATGATAGTTGTATGTTCGAGGTATTGTATAAATACCTCGGCAAGAATTGCTGAACATAATGACAAATGGTTTAAACAAAATGAAGGTCTTGCCATGGGAGCACCAACTTCAGCAATTCTTGCCGACATTCACTGAATTCTTGCATTTCATGAAATTATATTTTTCAGTTCCACATTAAGAAACTACTGCTGCTGCTGCTACAGTTTCCTAGCTTGATTCTAGTTATTTCATCTAAAAAGAGACTAAATTATGGAACACAAAATATGTGAGACCATGAATTTTTTATCAACTGTAGAAGCGCTCTGGCAATGAACAAATTATAGAACAGTATTAACCAAATATGCTTTAACAACATTCCAAAGTTTAATAGCCTTTTTTTTAGAATTTCAGAACTTTGTAATAAATTTAGAAATCATAAAGGGAAGTCAGAAAATAATGAGAAATCTTAATTAGGAACAGGAAATATACTTTCTCTGTCTGCATATATGTTTACTTGTTGCTTATATTCAGCTTCCTCTTCAGCTTCCTGCTGTAATTGCTTCATTCTGGCAGTCATTTGGTAACGATACGCCTGCCGTGCCTGAATGTGCATTCGCAATTTCCTCTCTAATTCCAGCTGTTGTTGTGCTTCCATTTCTTCCTTTCGCTCTTCTTCAGCCAACTGCTGCAGTAGTTCCTCCTCCTCTCTTCTTTTGGTCTGTAATATTTTATAACTAATGAGCAAATTTTCATCCACACAGCAAACAGCCAACCAAACAAAAAACAAACTCCATGATTTTAGTCCGCAAGTGAACTATACCGACTGAGTGACCACCGCTTGTCAGCGAAGTTTAGTGTCAACTATTGTGGATAGGGGGTGTCACGTGGTCAGCGCAACGAATCACCATGGCCGTTAATTTCGGTTTTCTAGACCGGAGCCGCTATTTTCCTGAAATAGCTCCTCAATTACCATCATGAGGCTGAGTGGACCCTGTTCCAGACCCACTACTTCTCAGAAAAAATTTGGCAGCGCCGGGAATCGAACCCGGACCTCTGGATCTGTAGCCAGGAACGGTGACCACTAGATAATAGACAACCAAGAAGAAATAAGATAATTTTGTTTAAGTTATAAATGAACTAACACGGGGAGTTTTATGTAATAAAATACAAAGGACAAGAACTACAGATGAGCCACTAGCGGTGTACCAAATGCGATGTTTACAATTAGATATAAATGCATCTGTATATATAAACGGCTAATGTCTGCTGTTCTGTTGCTATGTATGTAGTAGTCAGATATTTAAAATAAGTTAGCAGTAAAGAATACGTACCTCAATTTCATATATTTGACGAGCGAGCTTCTCTGTAAAAACTGCCTTCTGCTCTTCTTTCTGTTTCAACTCCACCACGCGTTTCTGTTCCTGCACATTCCGGTGCGCCAGATATTGTTCGATTCGCCTGATAAAAAGAAGAGTTTCAAGGTTGCACAGTACACTGAGAATATTTAAAAATTTACTGTTCATCATGAGAGAATGCTGGGTAAACTGAACCACAGAATCAAAGTACTTGTTTAAGTAATCTGAAGACATGCTTCCAGAGGAACTGTTAACGCTTTTAGTGCAAGCCTCTAGGAGGCTGATAAGCCGGAAATGCCATTGCTAGTATCTTCTGAAATTGTGAGCATTATGGAAAAACTTTCTACTCAACACAATTTTGGCTGTAGATGAACGAAAAGATTCCCTGCACTTCACTCAGGACTGAAGAACATAAAATGCAAATGGAGGATTATGTCTTTCTGAATTTTCCAGCAAAAAAAGTTCTCTCTCATATTTACAAATTGAAAAATGTACATTTGACATCTGAAGGGAATTTGCAAAAAAAGAGAACTTTTTAAAGAAGAATTTTATGGGTCATTGATTACAGAGTTCTCAGTTCTGAACATAATAACAATTTTTAGTGCAACATGAAATGGCTGACATGGTCCTTTTAAAACACTATTCTTTAGTCTCTGTGACATGTTATTCAGTACCCTTATGCTCTGCAAAGCACTGTCCATGGATGCCTCCGCTGCATTTGGCACCTGCAGATCTAGATTTAGCACTATTATACAACCATCAACACAACAAATTCATAATAAATTACCAATGTTATTGTATTATCACTCATTTGCTGTATACATTTGCTACATGTTTCGATCCAGCTGGATCATCATCAGGAAATTTTTCATGAAATGTACTGTGACGTGTTGCGCTATGCAGGACACCCCTCCCCCCGCCAGCGGTTATGTAACGCTATCGGATCGCTGTTGTTACTAAGGTAACGGGCGAGTCAATGCTCCTTCGCCTACCGCGCCAGCGGTGACGTCACCAAGGGATACCACGGTTGCTAGGAAGCAGTAAACAACTCCCGAGAGCGTTGATAACAACATGGCGCCAGACAACAATGATGCCTATTACGTGGCTGTTTCCTGCGTTGTCTGGAACGAGGCTAGATATGGAGCAGCGAAGACTATTCACAGTCAGTTCTCGAGTTTTCTAGTTACGATTTCCGAGCAAGCCTACGAGCCAGTGTGTGATCAACAGAGTTCTCAATCTGGCCAGCGGAGAATTCCGAGTAAGCCAGCAGTTAGCTGCAGTACAGTATGTGTGATACTGCCGATGATAGTAATTGTCAGATTGTAATTTGGGTGATTGTAAGTGCGAATGTGAAATAAAATTTGCTATATCAAGCACGGCGTGAATTTATTTGTTGGGTTATACACGCAACACGTGACAGTACTATTCGTTATTGAATTGTATTTCTTTGTATCTTAAATGTGGATTCATATTAGTAATCATAATATAAATTTCATTACAATACGTCGGTTTCATTATATTTTTGATATTAGTCTTAAAATGTAAGATGTTATAACTTGTTTGAAAGTGAAAATTCAAAAGTTAAACATTTTTCTGTTATTTAGTGTGCAGTACACATCTATGACGTTGTACTGTAGAGTAGATGGGTTTCCTCGGAATCTGCAGTATTTCTCAGTTTCTTGGTATTACATGGTGTTTTCTGCATGTATGTAAAATTATGTTCTATTTAGCCTTTTAGTGATGGTGGTAATGTTATTGTGTATGTTGTATTGTAGACTACATAGGAGTGCCACGTCTCCTTGCTATTCTCATTCTGTGTATAGAACCACCTGACCATATCCTCATCCTACTCAATGTGAAACCTGAAGCCGGAGGCACTACATTCCTCTGAAAAACAGACCAAATTAGAACAAAAGAAAAACCTCCGTAGCTTTTAGTCCATTAGCGAACTATACTGACCAAGCAACTGTTGCTCGTCGGTGAAGTTAGTGCCAACTGTAGTGGATAGAGGGTGTCGCGTGGTCAGTGCAACGGATCCCCACGGCCGTTAATTTTGGTTTTCTAGACCAGAGCCTCTACTTTTCCATTCAAGCAGTTCCTCAATTATCCTCATGAGGCTGAGTGGACCCCATTCCAGACCCACTACTTCTCACAAAATCTGGTAGTGCCAGGAATTGAACCTAGTACCTCTAGATCTGTAGCCAGGAACTTTGACCACTCGACCAGAGAGGTGGCCAAATCAGAACACATGCCACTGTGAAAACCAAATCTCTTATAAAACTGAATTTGCTGCACTTACTTGCACAGCGAAATGTTCCATAATATGTGTGAAATTCATTTATCAGTGTCATGATGACAAGGCTGTTGAAAGCAGAGAAATTAAATCAATCACTTATTCATTCACAGGATACAAGATAGCTCAGTCAGTATAGCGGCTTTGTCCATAGTGACCAAATCGGCTCTGGGTCCCACTCAGCCTCCTATATAACGGGCTCTGGGCACTGTTTGTCGAGATTAAAGCAGCAGGGGCATGAAGCTGACCATTCACCTCCATCTAATGCTGAGGTTAATGGTGGAACTAAACCTCCACGCCCCAATACCATCATGGTGTGGTGCTTGCTTCATTAAATGCTGGGATAACTTCATCTTTTACCTTACTTATTCATTCACAAGCCAGGATCACTCAGTTAATATACTGACCAGACTTTGGACAGGACAACTGGGACACTACTGTGTCCAGACCAGCTATGAGAACCATTCAGTCACATATCCCATGGGTACTTGGGGTTACTTCCCTTGGACTGGTCTTGAAGCTGTTCATTACCTCTAACAAGTGTTTAGATCAAGAATGTTTGTGTGTGGAGTGGTATCTCCATTTTCAAGTATCTTAATGGTGTGGTACATAATTATGCACAGGGACAAATGTACCGTCCATGATTCATTTATAGTTCATATTATTTTCCCAATATTAATATTTATATAATGGCTCGAGTTGAAGCAGATATGTAAGTGCATATGATCTCCTGCAAACTTGCTTCTCACAGGGTGACACCCCTCAAGAAAGCAAATCTAAAATTCACTCAAAAGAATAAATAGGTTGGTAACTAGTCCCTGTTGTATCCTTGGGCAGACATTGGGAGGGGAGGGGAGACAGAGATATACTCATAGTATTTGAAACTTTCTAGCTGCCTGCATTCTAAACTTGGACATATCTATGTAACGGTACATGATAATGGTTATATCTAACAATATGGTTACCCATTGTTTCCCACTCATTAGTAACAAGAAAATACCACAATCATCAGAATTGAAACCAGTGAATGGTCTGGCTACTCTCTCATGACAGAGAAGAAATGGCAGCTTCCTGCTAGAAGAGTGAAGTCAGCATGAATTGCCAACTTGTTCTAAATCCTTATCATGCATTTCATTTCCTTATAAGAAATAAATTCCAATATCAAGCCTCTACTTTTCAAGTTTGCAACACTTCTTAGAGGAAACACAATGAAGTTGTTATTTTCTGGGTTAATGATGTCTATTTTTTGGTTGAGGCACTATGCTACAAGCTGGAAGGTCGCGGGTTTAAGTCCTGATGAGGCCATTGGATTTTTTTTTTTATTGATCTAATCCTTCTGGCTGCATTATGACCCCGGGGTCGACTCAGCCTCTGACAGAAATGAGTACCAGGAATTAAGTAAATAATTTTCCTGGGGAGTAAAGCGCGGCCGGCACGTATGGCTGACAACCTTATCACCATCTTTGAGCCGACTGTCTAGATAATGTGGGACCCTCAACGACTCACAACCCTATGGGCCTTCATGGTCTGTTACATGGATAACTTTACTTTTACAAAATACAACTGTGAATATTAAAACTGAAAGTGAACCAAAATATTGTAGCGCGTTATAACAGTTTGTTATAACAGTGGAAACGTCGCTTTGTTGGCTCCGCGTTTCCTACGCAATAACCCATTGTTATCGCGTTGTCTCTGTGGGAACCTTCGCGTATTCTCGTAACCGTGGAGATTCGATGTTCTCGGTACAACGGCTCACTGTTGGGGTTACAGTTCCGCTATTGTTACTTCCTATGTAACAGTCCATTCTAGCGTTTCCCTAGAAGTTACTCCTCTGGTTTGCCGACACGTTACAATATATTTAAGTATAAATATTAAACCAAAATATACCTAAGTATAAACTTCTGTAATAAAAGGCAAAGTTGCCCTGTGTTTCATTAATTAAACACTATACCATGAAGACTTTTGGCACAGCGGAGGAATAGGCATACCGTTCTTTGACTTGGCACTGGATGGAAGTGAGTAAACTTGTGTAATACTGCTGAGAATTCAATGGGAACTCTCGTTATCTGTTATCTATGCTTCTGTTCTATTAACTTACTGTGCTTTTCTACATATTCCTTTCCAGTTCTATACGAAGGGGGACCCAAAAATAACCGGAAACGACCTGTTGCGCGCGCATGCTTTGTAGTTACGAGTTGTGCTGCTAGGTGGTGTTAGCTGGGGGTCTCCCGCGACTGTTAGTGAGCTGGCATCAGTCTGAGTTAAGTGGTTTGTCTGTGGTGCTCTGTTCCTGTTTCCTGTTTCAACCCTTTGGCGATTAGTGAGATGGCAGACCAGAAGGAACAAAGANGTGAAGTGCAGTTTTCCCTAACAGAAAGCAAAATTTCACGCACACTCTTTGTTCCTTCTGGTAGGCCATCTCACTAATCGCCAAAGGGTTGAAACAGCAACGCACACAAGAGAGCACCACAGACAAACCACTTAACTCAGACTGACGCCAGCTCACTAACAGTCGCGGGAGACCCCCAGCTAACACCACCTAGCAGCACAACTCGTAACTACAAAGCATGCTCACGCAACAGGTCGTTTCCGGTTATTTTTGGGTCCCCCTCGTATGTAGTGGAATGGTATGTCGAAGCTGACGTTCAAAGCCATCTCCCATTAATCACAAACACAGTTAATCTTAAACTGTCTCCTTCATGTAGTATACTACAGTTCATGCATCCACATCAAAATATTATCAATACACACAGAACATATGTGATACATTGAAACAAAAGGCTGCTCAATTGTTTGTGACCTACTAAATGATGAGTGGTCAAATTCAAAGTTGGCAACATGTATGAATTATTCTTTGGTTTTTGCTGTTCAGTGTTTGGGTAGGAGCGGGAAGAAAAATGGCTTCTTGTGAAGTGATGTGTGTTGGCGTGCTCTTACTCTGATTACAAATATACTTTTACTGTGCAATAGTTAACTCTGCGTAATTATTAACCCAATTACCAACACTAAATACCTCATGTTCATGTGACATGTTAACAGTTGACAATTTGTTGCAATGGAACTCAAAATGGTGTAATTTCAAGAGCTTTCATGTCACTGCTACATTACCTTATATACACACTCACAAGGAAATAAACACTCAATATAGTTACCTGTTCTCCTCTTCCAGTTCTTCCCTCTCCTTCAGTTTCCAAGCATCTCTTTCCTTGTGAAATGCTTCCATTTCCTCCTTTGTCTTCTGTGCCTTCAGAATCTTCAATTCCAACTCTCTGTACAACAGATATATAATCAAGGAGAAAGATCATATAACGGTGATTCTCTTCAGTCATGAGTAACCATCTTCCTCGCATTTTCATATTTTTAACAATACCTGAATTTTGCTATATTTAAAAATATCATTTTAAACAAAGTAATTACATTTTTTAGATATTCAGAACCAATGCAAATGATGGTCTTTTTAAGAAAGGAAGCAGAATGAAATGGGAATATTCATATCATCAAATATTCTGCAGTGTACGAGGTGGTATAGGAAAGTTCCTGGACTGTTATTTTTATAACTGCGTTGGTGAAAGACGATAGGGGAGGCCAAGGTCACACTTCTGAAAGTCTACTGGATCAGTCTGCTACTTGACACCATGCTGTGAACACACACTGTTTTTACATGAGTGTTTTTTCGACTTCTTGCTTTGTTCTGTCTGTGATGGACAGCAAAATTGAGCAACATGTCTCCATCAAGTTTTGCATGAAGCTAGGTAAATCCGCTACCGAAACCCTTGAAATGCTTTGTGAGACTTTTGGAGAACATTCTTTAAGATGCACAGTGGATTTTGAATGGCATTCACATTTCAAGGCCAGTTGAGTGCTAGTTGAAGATGATGAACGGTCAGGGTGACCAAGCATCAGCAAAACAACAGAAAATGTTGAAAAAATTTGAGAAGTCATCCATGAAGACTGTGGACAAATAATCCATGAGCTCGCAGATGCTGTTGAGATCAGTTATGGAGTTTGCTAGGAGAGCTTAACAGAAAATTTGAACATGCACTGCACTGCTCCTTCATCACAACAAGCCCACCCACACATCCCTGAAAACCACAGAGTTTGTGACTAGCACTACATGGTTACCGTTCCCCATCCTCCCTACTTTCCAAACTTAGCCCTTTGATATCACTTTGCTTCCCAAATTGAAAATGAAACTGAAGAGACATTTTGAAACAGTGTCCGGCAACCAAAGGGAATCGCAAGCGGTACTTGACAGCATTAAGTAAAATGACTTCTTTGATACTTTTGAGGTGTGCAAAAAACGTTGGATCGCTGTATACATTCCCAAGGAGACTATTTTGAAGGAGATGGCAGCCAAAATTGAGTAAGTTAAGTCAACATTTCATTTTTGACCTAGTCCAGGAACTTTCTGATAGCACCTCATAAATACAGGTCTATACTTGTATACGGTGTTTTGCAATTGACGATTCTGCCTTGGATATGGTGGTGGACAATTTTGCATTTTCCAAAGAAATGTCAGGATCATATAACTCTAATGTGAGAGTAATCTTAAAATAAAATTTGGAAAAAGGAAGAATAATCCTATACACTGTACAAACCGAGGAAAGATTATGATCAAGCAGCAACCTCAAATGCAACACATAAATCAATAACACTAGAGCTTCCGAGGGAAAAAAATTTGGGGNGGGGGGGTAGAAAGAGAAGCCGCTGAATGGTGCCATAAGTAGAAAGCATGGCTCAACATATAGAACCGTTTTAAAAAGATCTTATGACTGTACATTTGTTAAGAGTATATAGACACACCTCCTGTAACATATATTGAAATTCAAATTAATTATATAATTAAAATCAGTTTGCCAACTAACAGCAGAATAAATAAAATGGGGTCTTATTATTAACCTTAATAAGATGGAGAACCTATGTGTGGGGAGAGAAGTTGAAATATGTGACAGAGATATTCAAAATAGAATCTCTATTATATTACGTTCCATCTGACACAAACATATATAAATGCATTAACTGTATGTACCTTCTTTACTGTGACATGTTTGGCAAAAATTGCAACAAAAACATTGTAACATTTTACGAAGTGAACTTTGGCCACTGAGGGACTCAGGAATAAAAATAAGGAAGACAGAATCTGATTACCTACGGCGATGTCTTTAGGAGGCAAAAGAAAATAGGGCAAGAAATCATATGTTATAGGAAGAAATGGATGTCACTTCGTCAATAATAAGAAATGCTGAAGGTAGAGCACCAAGACAGTATGGATATATTCAAAGAATGGAGGAAAGATTACTGACAAAATGTGTTACATTGGTTACCACATGGCAGGGGGAGAAGACCTGAATACAAGCAGAAGGCACATATTAAGTGCATTATGGAAGACAGGTTTGGAAGATTGGGACTGGGAGAATGGATTATTGTGGAAAATGAAGATGATAAATCCATGAAGGGGGAGGATCCAAACCACATACAAGCCTAAGAAGATGACATGAAATTCTGAGAAACCAGTCATCACAGTAACAATATTTCACGCAAATTACTAATCCACCAATATATACCATAACTATATTAACATAAGAATTTCAGTGCATGATCTACCATGTTTTACACATCTGAACTGTCAATACATTCGTAAAAACAAATTTAAAGAATGACTTCATAATGAGTACCTTTCATCTTCATCATGTATTCTCTGTACCACATCATCAAGGAGTTTCTTTTCTTGCATGAAGTCCTCATAGGCCACCTGTTTCAATCTCTCTGCAAAGGTAATTTGCTCCTGAAGTTCTTCTCCATACCGCAGTTTGTGACGATGCTGCTCAGCCTCTTTCTCTGCCTCTGCAGCTATCTGTCTCTCCCAAACCTCCCTCAGAAAATCAGCAGTTTCTTTCTCTTGCAACTGAAAAACAATTTCCAGTTATCCTCATTTGACATGCACACAAAAGGGGGAACACCTAAAATTTGTCATAAAAAAAAGTAAAGCTATCCCTGTATAAGGCCGTGAAGGCCCATAGGGTTGTCAGACATTGAGGGTTCCACACTACCTAGACAATCAGCTCAAAGATGGCACTAAGGCTGTCAGCCTTACGCGTTGGCCGTGCTTTACTCCCCAGGAAAATTATTAATTAATTCCTGGGTCTCATTTCTGTTAGAGGCTGAGTCGACCCCAGGGCCATAGTGTGGCCGGAAGGATTAGGTCAATTGAAAAAATCCACCTCATAGTGACTCGAACCCGCTACCTCCTGGCTTGTAGCATAGTGCCTCAACCAACTATGCTACCTCGTGCCCCCTTGTCATAACAATTTAAATATCCTAATGTATATTAACACACATACCAGCCATGGTAACCATGCATTTACATTAAAAACTCAATTTTAAATTAAAATATTGTGACGTGTTGTGCTAGGGATGATGCCCCTCCCTCCCTGCCAGCTGTGAAGTGCCGAGCGGAGCCGAAGTGAGCCAAGTCCCAGCACGCTGGTCGCTATGCAAAGCGAGTAAACACCGGTTGCTAAGCAAACCGGGTAAACAGTGGTTGCTAGAGATGACGGTAATAACAGCGGTACCCATTATGTAACAGGCAAACACGGCGTCAGACAACAGTGGTGCCTATTATGTAACTGTTTTCCCCTTGTCCGGATGAGGGTTTATAAGGGAACTACACAGCTGCCGAAGACAGTTAAGTGTATCAGTCACCGAAGGGAGTTCTCAAGGCAGCAGTTATGAGTTACGAGTTAATCAGCCTGAGTCAGTTAACTAGTCAATAGCTGTCTATTTTTCGTTGGAGTATTTCTGATACTGCCAATGGCAGTAATTGTCAGATTGTAAATTGTGCGATTGTAAGAGCGAGTGGAATAAATTCGCTATATCAAATAAGGAGTGAAATTATTTGTTGTGTTATACACCCAACACATGACAACTGGTGTTTCAGAAGTGGGATTGGACTTACACACGTGACCAACAAGATTCAAACTTAAAACAGGTGACAATATCATATCAATTTTCATAACTCCATTGTATACATTCAGTTAGGAGAGAAATATTGTATTACTTAATATCTGAGGTTCTGACAATTGTGACTATGAAGATTAGTGTATTCTGTGCTGTCTGACAGATGTTTATCAATGTTTCAGAGGAAAGTGATACCTCCATCTTCATGGTAGAAGAATAAACTGAGTATGGTGAAAGAACTGTGAATACATACACATGGAGAACTGGGAGGGGCCCTGAATGAACCAACAGGAATAAGGAGAATAGGGTGACCAACCATCCTGGGAATTAAAGCCTTATCCCATATCCTCAACATGTCAGAAATTAAAAATATTCTTTTCTGAAAATGTTACATTTTAATTTGTTTAATTGTTCTCAAAGTTGAACATAAAGATGCTGCATATTATCATATAACATAAAGTCAAATTAATTTCACATATCATCAGCTCAGGGTATAATACACTATTACTTCTTGCCTACTGGACATGCAAGTGGTGAAAACAACTAGAGAGTGTCTCTGTTTTGGAGAATTACATCAATTACTTTCAAAACATGCTGCACAGCTTTGAAATCAATGACTGGTGATAATTAGAGAAATGCAGACTCTTGTTGCCTCAGGGTAACAACATGAGATGATGTTGAATATCAGTCAGTGGAGTTTTCAAGTGTTTGAAAGAGCCATTGTGTATAATGCTCCATGTTCTGTCACAAAGCAAAGATTACAGTAGTATTAATTTTCAGTTTTGTTGGTTTTTACATTTCATGGAAGGTCATGAATGGCTGCAGAAAAAGAGAGTTGGCAATGTCAATATTTTTAGTCTAACTTACATCTAAAAAGACTGCGTGTACTGCTAAAAAAGAATACCCGAAGAAATATAATAGAATTGTTGGCGGATAAATATTCTCAGGTGCGCTGCAGGTTTTGTGTCAAGTACTTTCAGTTTCTTGTGGGAGAAAGAATGACATCACGAAACATACTGCTGGCCCCATTCATAAAACAAATGTTGTATGGAAAACTACCAGCAAATTGATAGATTCTGTGAGGAAGACAGTATATCACAACTCAACAAAGACATTCATATCACTCAGCTGACTGAAATATGAAGATGTGTCATATATTTTAACTTCTCAGTTCACACACACTAAAATGTCAAAACTGTTGAATTACCAGTCATTATGTTCGTACCTACATTATAACTATTCAGAACAACTTAAAACAATGTATGTATAATGTAACACTTCTGATGGGTCCACTATATATATATTGAGAAAATTAAATAAAACTGGTTTTCTGTTGTCTACAGGACTTATGGGAAAAATATACTGAACATAAAATGTGGTATTCATTTTTAACTAAAACTTCACTAAAAACAGTTTTCTTTCTGATAATATTGTGACATGAAAGCTGGAAGTGATAGCCACTGCTAGGCAACGGCAAACTAAACATGTTTATGCAGCAAACAATATACATGTCCACAGTAACAAATCAATATGTAACAACAGAAGAACTGTTGGAGGCAGTGTCTTCTATGTAGTCTGTTCTGAGACTATATAGTGAGGGTGAATGAGGCAAGACATAGAAATACCCCTTGTGGAGGCAGGGTTGAATACCTCCATCGCAGCCCTGTGAATCGTATGAAGCAATGAAGAGGGAACCCAGTGCCTGGGGGTATAACTGGGCCACCCTGTTCCTGGGGGATATAAATACAGAGACCTGGTCCTCCAGTTTGGGGAGGTCTCAAATCTGAGACAGTAAAATTTTGTCATGAGTCCTGTGGGACTTGGACCTGAGAATGATTTTGCTGGTGAGGTCCAGCAGCAATTGTAAATCACAGACCCATCCTCTCATCAAACAGGATGTTACATAAGGACTATGACCGCAGTGTTCTGTTGAAAAAAATAAATTGTGGATTGTGACTCTCAAGGGGCCTGATGCTAAGATGAGCTGATTGGTGGTAAACTTCCAGTTGTAAAGTGACTCTGCCTCTGAGACACAGAAAATATAAGAGGCTTAAACTTGGCAGCGGCAAAGCCTACAACTGTTCAATTGACTAAAATGCTGTTGTAGCATAAGATAAGCATGATCTATGCAAGGCCCGGACTGAGGCAGAACATGTAAATAGTGCACAAGGAAGAATTTTCAACACAATTTTATATGTGCGATCTGAACACTTGACAAAGGTAAAGCCTATCCATAAGAGACAAACTTATTCTCTTGTCAGGGAGGATGTTACATAAAGGCTATGTTCCCAAGGGTTCAGTTGAAAAATAAACTCTCTGGTCATGATCCTCAAGGGACTTGGAGCCGAGACCAACTGACTGGCGTAAACTGTAAGTCATAAAGTAACTCTGACTCTGACTCTGGGTCAGAAGACAGAATAATGGCCATCACAAAAATTGTGATGGCTGCTAGAGTTCATAGGTGGTAAACAGACTGTGCTGGGGAGGGCCAGCAGCAATTGTATACAGCAGATCCATCCTCCCGTCAGAGAGGGTGACCCATACCAACAAACCTGCAACTGCCTGACAGCAATAAAAATCTGATCTTGGGCCCCAGATGAGTGCTTGACACCAAAGGGGCCCATACACATATGAGTCTGGCTTGCAAGTCCAGCTTGGCGAGCTTGGATTAATTTCACCACAAACGCATGAGATGACTCCCAACTTTGCGACCCAAACACGGACGAATCTGGCTCATTTGAACCAGAGCCGAATTGGACTTGCGAGCCAGACTCGTACATGTATTGGCCCCTCAAGACATTCTGGCTGACTGGCTGCTGGTCATAACATAACTTTGATTTTGACTTTAAAGTTAGTTGTGAGATGGTAGCCAGCTCACAATGATGTGAGCATGGAAGCAGAGGAATGAATACCCATTGTTGAGAGCAGTTATCTAGCAATGCTTGATAAAGACATAGGAGCTTTAATGTTTGGATAGTTATTTGTAGAGTGTACAGATCCATGGAAACTGTTATACGTAGGTCGTACCAAAAGTCATGAGCAACTTTTTTTGCATGCAACCTGGGAACAGCAGATGAAAGAGAGTATGGTGGTAGGTGGAACCAACTGTTGTGTTAACCTTGAGTGTCTTGTGATGTCAATAGCTTGCATCACGTGACCAGTATCACTCCTAACAAAATGGCCGACAACGATATGTCATTTCGCGTGCTGTCATTGAATTTCTTGTAAAAGAGAAAATCCCTGCTGCAGAAATTCACCATGCTTATGGAAGTGTGTGCATCGGTGCAGGCAGTGTTCGAAGATGGGTGAAACATTTTAAAGATGAGAACACCAGCATCGAAGATGAGCCTCGGAGCGGTCGTCCTAGAATAGCCTCAATTGAACGCAACAAGAAAAGAGTGGATGAGATCATTCAAGATGACAGGCATGTGACTGTGGACACAACAGCCCGATAACTTGGAATAGGGCACAGTGCAGTACAGGAGATGATTGAAAGCTTGGGCTATAGGAAAGTTTGTGCTCGTTGGGTCCCACGGTCACTGACCTAAGACTACAAAGGTCAGCGAAAAACCATCACCTCAGAACTGCTGCAGAGATATTGACATGAAGGCGATGATTTTTTGCTCTGTATTGTGAAAGGTGACAAAAGCTGGTTTCACCATTTCGAGCTTGAAGTGAAACAGCAGAGTATGGAAGGGCACCATTTGCATTCTCCATCAAAAAAGAAGGCAAAGACAGTGCAATCAGCTGTGAAGGTGATGGGCACAGTCTTCTGGAATGCAGAGGGGTTTATTCTGGCCGAATTCCTGGAGCCTGGACAAACCATCAATGCTGCTCGTTATGTCCAGACACTGCACAAGCTTCGTCGTGTATTGTGTGATAAATGTCTGGGACGAAAAATCATCATCCTGCATGACAACGCTCACCCCCCACGCCGCTCACCACACATTGGAAGCGATTGCAAAGATGGGGTGGGAAGTTCTTCCACACCCCTCCTATAGCCCTGATCTGGCACCCTCAGACTACCATCTTTTCGGATTTGTGAAGGATCAGCTGTGTGGACAATGTTTTGAGACAAGAGAGGCAATTTAGAACGCAGTGTGTCAGTGTCTTCGGATGGCTGGAACAGAATTTTACAGAAGGGGAATTTTCAAACTCCCAGAACGCTGGGAGAAATGTGTACAAAGAAGTGGTGATTATGTGGAAAAATAAAGAAAGGTCTGTAGATTGAGGTGGTGTATTTGGTTTGTCAATAATAAAGCATGTTACTTTACAAAAAATTGTTGCTCATGACTTTCAGTACGACCCTCATAGTTACCTGTACTTATGAGTTACAAGTGTTCAATAAATTCCTATTACCAATTCAAACCCTGTGTCTAGTCACTAACATGTGACAATATTTAGTGAATTATGTGCAAGATGCAGGCTAAGCCATAGCTCAAGCGGTTAGTTGCTGGCTTCCCAATGCGGCAGCCCGGGTTCGATCCCGGATCTGGTCAAGTGGGATTTGTGTTGGACAAAGTGGCACGGGGGGCAGGTTTTCTCCAAGTACTTCAGTTTCCCCTGCCAATCTTCATTACACCAACTGCTCCACAATCACCCTAACCTATCATCTGGGGTTGGTACAATAGTGTTGTGCCGCAGGGGGTGGTTGCCTAACCTCCCCCCTGTGGTCACCAGTAGATATCTCTCGCTGGATCAGGAAGGGTAGGGGTGCAGGAGCAATTGTTCCCACAGCCTTCTCAATTAAACAGACACCTTAAATATATGAATATAATATGTGAAAATACAGGAAAATGAATGGTTACAACACTTATAGAATGTGCCTACAAGGTGCTACCTTAACCTACCCTAATACATGAAGTTATCCTAAACCTAAGCGGTCTGGTTAAATATAGTAAGCATTAAAATCTTTGGTTTCCCTAGCCTGTCTGATACTTGTTAGTAAACCCACACACAAGTGGTTGTGTCGTGTCCGATGCCCCACTCGCTACTCAATCGGACTGAGGACCGTGGCCGTCCTGCCTCCGGCCTCAGGCTCTGTCTGGCGTGTCCCGCCTGAGCGTAGTGATACACTGGGCTCTCACATACACGCACTAGTCTATTGCCAATCTGACTAGTTCTATGCTAAACTTAAGTTATGTGACCTGAGTAAAATACGATAAATGACACAAATTCCGTCCCAAGTGCAAACAATATATATTATATGTCTTTGATCTTGTTCTTTCTACACTACATGTTTCGGCCTCTATCGGCCATCATCAGGTGTATACTCTTAACGTTGCTGCCACACTGACCCCAGTCTAAAATTTAACATTTAAAAACACAATGTCATATTCTTCGTATTATCAACATCTACATCGTTGATATATGTCTGGTATGTAGATTATGTTGCACACGTCAAATTTGATATTCTTGTAGTAGCACTTTAAAAATCTTTAGTTATGATGTTTTTCAAAACCTTTTAAAATTTTTCTCGAAATTTTAAATTTAAAATTTAAAATTCTTAGGGGTACACGCCCTATGTCTAAGTGCTGGAGCGGCTAGTTCTTGTTTTCACACTGTACAGGTGTTATTTAATGTAGTCTTCTTGTGTGGNTACCAGACATATATCAACGATGTAGATGTTGATAATACGAAGAATATGACATTGTGTTTTTAAATGTTAAATTTTAGACTGGGGTCAGTGTGGCAGCAACGTTAAGAGTATACACCTGATGATGGCCGATAGAGGCCGAAACATGTAGTGTAGAAAGAACAAGATCAAAGACATATAATATATATTGTTTGCACTTGGGACGGAATTTGTGTCATTTATCGTGTAGAGTGCAACAGGATGCTTAAATATAATATGAGTAAAATACACTTGAATAAAATACAATCTTAATCTGTATAACTGTGACTGTGACTGAGACTGACCATTGGCAAGTACTTACACGCCCCGTCTATCGGGCTGCCACTATGACTTCATCTTTCTCCGTGGTCTCGGTGGTGCGCCTCGCACCCTGGCGGAGTCATGCCCCGAAGGCTCGGGTACGTTCTACTGGCGGCGTTAAGTGACAAGTGTCCAGCTGTGCGCGCGCGTTCCCGTCCCTTCTTCCAGGGTTCTTATACCGTCTGGTAACGTGGGCGCGCTTCCGTCCTCATGGACGCGCTGGGAATCGTTGATTCCCATTGGTTAAATTCCTTTCTGTCCTAGCAACTTGCCCATATTTGGTCTTCCCTGCCAGCCACCTAATTCTTCCAGTATCATGGGGAGCGGCTGACTAATGGAATTAACTTTATCTTTCTAGCTCAAACATAATTTCATGTTTCCTACATTAATAAAATAATTTAAAATATCAAAATCAAATCCTAAAGGATCCGGGCACAACAATAGGCCAGAAGTGGCTGCAGTACAAGGGACTTAGTCCCAACCCACTAGGAATAAAAAAATGTGCAAGATGCACACAGAAATGCACATTGGTCTTCATGTAAATTTTCTGTTACTGCCATCTCATTTTAAGGAAAATTAAACATGTTGACAAATTTTAGTAAAATTCCCCATTACCAAATTTCATTAAAATTCTTCCAGTGGTTTTCAGGTTGTTTCATTCAGGATGGCTAAACATCTTGAAGCTAACACACACATTAGTGGTGGCTGCACCAAAGGAATAAATATTGCTATACCCGCACTACTTATATTAAACCTCAGTGCTGTCCACATATAATTAGAAGTTTGGAGATGGAGTTAAAGGTTGTGTTTACCATTAAGTTTATTTCAGTCCAATGTGGCATATAATGCTTTCACCACTTCAGCACTTAGTTACCTAACATGTTTTGATTCTTAATGAATCATCATCAGAGGTGTACCACTATGATCAGGAACCCACCAATACGTAAATGTTTTTATAAGACTATATGTATACACTTAAAATATTCATGATGATAGTGAACACCATGAATGTTTTAAGTGTGTATAGTCTTATAAAAATTCTCAGCATTTTATGGAACCCAAAGGTTCATCACCGTGTTCACAAGAGCCTTCCACTGGTCCCTATTCTGAGCCGGATCTATCCAATCCATACCATTCCATCCTATCTCTCTAAGATCCATTCTAATATTGTCCACCCACTACGCCTCGGTATCCCTGTGGTCTCTTTCCTTCTGGCTTTCCCACCAGTATCCTATATGCATTCGTCTGCCCAATTCATGCTACATGACCTGCCCACCTCATCCTCCTTGACTTGATCATTCTAATTATACAGAACTCATACAATCGATAATCACCTTTTCTCTCTCTTTAATTACTTATGACATTAATTTGACACTACTCATTTATTAGTTGCATTTATTTGAGTAGAAATATTTTCTTTTGTTCAGTGTTTATTTGATGTCATTAAATGTTCTAGAAATTCGTTTATGTACTGTATTTATCTGTGTACTTGTATTGTTTATCATAATAATATACACTAATCCTCAGAAGAAGATATTTTGCGAAAGCTTAAATTTAATGTAAAATGAGCCTTTACCCTGGACAGTTACTATATAGGATTTTCTCTGTATATATAAATACATATATATAAAANACTTGAAGCACAGAGAAAATGATGCTCGAGATGGTTCAAGTTCGTATAGCAACAGGCGTGACCAGAGTGGTTTGAACGGCTGTTGTACTGCGATGTGGAAAGCAAATGGAAAAACTACCACATTATCACTATTCCTGGATAGTCTCTTTCCAAAAACAGAAGATCGCATTAAGTGGAGAAACTGTTTTGGAAGAGGCTGTGGACCTGTCATCTGACAGATTACTGATGAATGAATATAAATAGTTTTGCTGTGGTAGTGATGAAGAAACAGTGAAAATCCTACTTGATGTTTCTGTGGGATACTGAATTTGAACAGTACACTGAGGAAAATGATAAGAGGAAATTCATTGTAGAGATTATTTACTGGACTACTGAAATTAATTTTAAATAATGCAAGATATTAATCTAGGAATATTAAGTGGGGTTTTCACTATACATTTTACTTCAATTTTCTTACTTTCTCCTCCATTCTGGCTGCTTCCTTTTCAGCCAACTGAGCTGCAAGCTCCTTTGATATGTAGGCTGTTCGAAGTTGTGCTTCTAGTTCCTTCAACTCTACGCTTGATTCACGGAGCTTTTGTCTGCAAGATACATGATTATAACATAAATTTAAGTGACTCACTCATTTAAATATCTACTAACATATAGAGGGTTACACAATATACACAGTTAATCCTTGTTACACAAATATATGAGTTTGAAAAATACAATTTCATTTTAATGTGATCAACTATTATATATGAATTTTAACTAACAGAAGTTGATTTAATGCAAATTGCTTGCTGGTTGATCAAGAGTGGCAGGGAGAATGGGGCACTGAGAAATCTGTGAGTGGCAGCGGAGGAACGCAAAGGACGAAGGGGAAATTTGGACCAGCTGTACAAGCTCTTCTGTGCACCTATTGCTGCATGAGAAATCAGAGGCTAATAAGCAACTAAAGCAGGATGATTTTTTAAAAGAAGTTATGGCCAACAGTGAAATTTTACTGTCAACTTCAATGGTCATACATGCGAAACATAATATTGTGACATTTTGCGTAACGGAGAACCCTTCCCTACCCAGCAATAACATGGCAACTCAGGCCACAGTGACGTGGCGGATGAGTCAGCGCTCCCCCCCTCCGCGGTGATGTAAGACGGCGCAAGGTAACAGCGTTGCTAGGCTATACGCAAACACGGTGACGCGGCACCGCTTCCTACTGTGACGTGGCATGCAACAGGCACCACTGCAGCTATATAAGGGAACTGCACAGCAGCTACGAGTCAGTTGTAATGTAGCTATCGCCGAGTTCAGTAGTAGTCGAGCGAGTGTGTTATCAACAGTCCTCAAGTCAGCAGACTACAGTTGGAGTATAGCAGCCGTCGCGGAAAGAAGAACCGGACGTGTAATTGTGTAATTGGGAGTGTGTGATACAGTGATACATAGCTCCCCTACTGTAAACGTGTAGACTACTGAAGACAGAGTGAACTGATTTGCGCATAGGGTTATAAAGTGTGAAACCCCGAAACAGTGGTAACAGATTATTGCGATTAGGGTTATGAAGTGTGAAACCCCGCAACTGTGTTATAATTAATTGTAGCCGTTATTTGTAGATTGTTAAATAAACCAATTAACCATCTCTACGGCGTATTCAGTAACGAAACACGTTACATTTGGTGTCAGAAGTGGGATTTGGACTTACACACGTGACCGACGAGATTCGAACTCAAAACACGTTACAATATTGTAGATTTTTAAACCAATTCAAGCTCCTTCCCTACCTTACCACAATCACCTGCTTCATCATCTTCATCTCCTTACACAGCTCAGATCACCCATCCATTCATTTAGCATGCCATTTCCTGTGAGATGGGTGGGTGTTCATTTTCATTAATTCTTTATAATTAACTAGCTGTACCCGGCCACATGTTGCTGTGGCAGATCGAGTTAATTAAAAAATTCTGTTGGATAATTAACCGCTTCATCTGCTTCCACAACAGTGTCGACGGACTTGTATGTGACTGCCTCACAGTGAATGTTAGACTGAATGATATTAAGTTCGTAGGCGTCCTTGTTCTTGGCCGCAAGAACAGCTTGTTCACTCAGCCAATCGTGATTCTTATAATTGGTTTGAATATTGGGAAATATTTTTTCAACCAATTCTTCTTTTGACGTCACTAAATTGCAGAAGTTATGAGGCAACGAAATTCTTCCTAGGTCAGATCAACTGGCACCTTTCCGTTCCCAATTTCCACCAATTGATGTGAGAATATTTCAGCTGATGGATCCTTTTGCAGCTGGACACACATATTTGTAGTTAATTTTAACATCTTTATGTGCTGCCACAAAATAGAGTATTTCAGGCAAGCATTTATTTCGTCTGCTGGTGTCGATTGAGGAAGTACAGGTAATGTTTGCCTGAAATGTCCTGCAAGCAATATTAACGCGTTCCCAAATGGTCTGATGTTTCCACGCAAATCTTGCAATGATTGATGAAGAGCCTTGAGCGACTTTTTGTGCGCCATTGTGCATTCATCCCAAACAATAAGTTTGCATTTCTGCAATACCCTTCCCATGCCTGATCCTTTGGAAATGTTGCACGTGGGAGTTTCAATGAATTGCATGTTCAATGGAAATTTCAAAGCGGAATGAGCAGTTCTTCCACCCGGTAGCAATGTTGCAGCTATTCCGGACGACGCAAGAGCTAAGGCTATGTCATTTTGGGATCGAATTGCTGCCAGAATCAATCTAATTAGGAACATTTTACTAGTTCCTCCTGGCGCATCTAAGAAGAATTCTGCAACCCCGTTATTGACAGTTTGCATTATTTGATCGTAAATGCCTTTTTGCTCAAGCGTTAGCTTATAAATATTTGATTGCACATATGACAAAAGATCACCTGTGTTGTAATTTTGTTCACGACGCAATTCTACATTGGACGAAGCAGCAGCAGATCGATTCGGTGATGGCATTCCCAGTTGATTGAGAACTTTGTTCGCGATTTCTAAGCACAAATCTTCAATCATTATCAACGCCTCGTTGCAGATTTGTGCTGTGAAATCCATGTTCATATTGGAATTTTCCCTGCGTATTCGATGGAAAATATCTTAAGCCATGTGCGATTTATATTTCTCCCATAACTCTGTTGGAGATGAAGGAGAGCAGGCGGTCAATATGATTGCAAACAATGCATGAATTTGATGTGGATGTGACATGTTGCACGCGTCAGTAATGCATGTAGCGTGTTTGGGTATGTCACGCTACAAATAACTGTATGCCGTATTAATTAAAGCGAATCTTTATTGTAATTCACTTGCACACTTTACAATTATCGCCACTTGCAGTATTAGAGTTACTGGTTACACAATCTCTTGGCCAATGCTTCTGTATCTCTTGGCGTCTACGTTCCAACATTCTTCAGCGGCAGCTATTCCAAGACTGACTGGGCGAATGAATTCAACCCCCTTTATACCCTGGGCCGCTGCTATGCAAATGAGCCTTTGTCATAACCGCGGAAACGCTGCTTTTTTGATTCCGCGATTCCTACGCAATGACCCATTGTTATTCTGTTGTCTCTGTGGGAGCGCTCCGTGTATTCGTTCTAACCACGGAGATTTGATACAGTATCACTATTGTTACTTCCTATGCAACGGTCTGTTCTAGCGTTTCCATAGAGGTGACTCTTCTGAATTCCAAATTCCAATTCTATTTTTCAAAAGAAGCATGTTTTTACCTGTCACAGGTGTGACAGGTGTGCATTCGAATGCAACGTTGTGTCAAAGTTTCGAAGCAATTGGTGAAGAACTTTCGGAGATTTAAGATCCTGAACAAACGAACATTTACATTTTTATTTATATAGATATTGCAATGCTGATCCCCCTGTTCCCACCTGCCTACTGTGCTCATTATACAAGTGAGGGGGAGAGGCCAGTGGATTATATGTGGTGTGCACGGGGCTTGAGGTATATGTAATGTTTAGCAACAACATGGATGTATATCTGAAATAAAACATAAATAAGGCCTAGATGAACAGACAAAATGCACAAATGACAGAGAACTTGAAATATGAAGGGAAATAAGTAGAGCAAGTCTAACACAATCAAAATGATCCATGTGTCATCTACAATCTCATGGCTCAAAAACTCCAAGCTTATGGGGAACAAGACTGGCATGTGGCCTGACTGCTCACATGGGAGCAATACAGAGCCGAAACAATTTTTGAACAATGCGACCAGACAAGAATTTAGAGGGAAGCTCCCAGTTCAAGGCCTCTGCAAGTAGTGAGCTTGAGGACCAGAGTGAATCCTACCAGAAGAATAAGGGTAGAGGGGAGGCAAGGGTATGGATCTCACACAAGAAGCACAGACTAGATTAACAGTCTAGTCAGATGGATAGATGGCAGTGAATATTATCCACATTGCCCAGTGTAGATCACTTCTGCCTTCTAAAAACTATTTAACAATGTAAAAAATACAACTTGTTAATACTGTCAGAATTTTAGTGACTAAAAACAGGGTTTGGATTGGTAATCAGATTTACTGAACTCTTACAACTCGTAACTGCAAGTAAGGATTATGCTCTTACTGTTCTACATACTTCCACAGTATTTGCCCAACAAATACTAAGCAAACGCCAAAAGGATGGACCTATGACAGTGATCATGGAAATGGCTGAAATTGCAAAAAAAGGGAGCATCATGAATATAAAAGAAGAATTCCATATAAATCGCTTTATTAGACTCAACACATTGAAAGAAGAACAAAAACATACAAAGGAAAGTAATAACCAGCATAACATGTCCGACATCATAATACAACATCAGCCCACACAAACATCATAGACACAAGGAGTATAAATACGCAGCTTAGCACATCCTAGAGCAGTATAACAACACAGCGCTCCACAAACACTTACAGGACAGCATTAAAGGTAGGATGAAATAACAAAAGCTCTCATAAAAACAAAACAGGGTTTGCTGAAATAATACAATATACCCATAATATACTTGCAGAACCCTCTTCTCAAGAACTACAAGGCAGCACACACATTTGGCCACCTTCAAGAGAAGAAATAATATAGGACACGAACCAACTTGGTTTATAATTTCCAACAAAAATATCAACAAACAAATCGTAAATATTTTAACATAATAAAACAGCTGCTGTAGTTGTTAAAAGTTTACATTTTCTATTCACTGTATTTTATCAACATTATATGTATATATTTTAACATTCAAAAACTTATTGTAATAGTAGCTTCCGATTGTATTGAGGTCCTTCTGAGGATGGTCTGTAAAGACCGAAACATGTAAGGGATGAAGGACTGAAATAAGAAAACTCTTTACTAGTCACACTGGATGGAACTGTTTAACCTGTTATGATTTTACTATAAATTACTAAATTGTGTTACCAATAAAAAACTCAAAAGTATCAACCGTTGAATAATATACACATGAGCACACAGGAATTTCAAAAGAGGTACTGGTATTGCAAAATTTATCTCAGTCATTTCTTTACTTATTCTTGAGTTAAACACATTATAGTCACCTTAACTTCTTCTCCTTCAGCTCTTCTTGGTAAATATGATCCATTTCCTCCATCAATCTTACATCTTGTTGAGACTGTGCTTTTTCAGCCTGAAAATAAAATATGAGTAATCTGTTAAACAAACAAGATACAAATTAAAAAGAGAGGCAGATGACAGCAATTACTGTTGAGAATAGTTAAGGCTAGACCATTGTTAGAAAATTAAATGACAGATCAACTCAGTGAATTTAATTAACGTATCAAATACAGAAATCAAATTCATGAGAACAGCTACACTCATAGAGGCTGTGCCATAGCTCAAGCGGTTAGTTGCTGGTTTCCCACTGCAACGGCCTGTGTTCGATCCTGGGTCTGGTCAAGTGGGATTTGTGGTGGACAAAGTAACGCTGGGGCAAGTTTTTTCCGAGTACTTTGGTTTCCCCTGCCAATCTTCATTCCACCAATTGCTCCACAGATCACCCTCATCTATCATCTGGGGCTGGTACAGTAGGCCAGAAGTGGCCGCAGTACAAGGGACTTAGTCCCACCCCCACTAGCAAGAAAAAAACACTCATAGAGATTATAAAAGGAATTCTGACAAAATTAAAGAATTCATGCACATCCAATCGTGGAATTCAGAGAAAATTACACATCTAAATGGAAGAATCATATTCTTCTAATGCTTAACTCAAACATCATAATCAAAATTCCCAGTTAGCAACCTAAGAGAACAAAATATTTGGGGAGACCTTAAAATCACTGGAATGGGACTGTAACAGATCACTATATGTAAGATGTGGAAGGCTGATGAAGGTATAGGACATAATTTTTCGCTTAGTAGGGGGTGGAGTCCAAATGGTTCCGCTGAGCATGGTGGCCACTGATTGGCCTATTGTACCTGCCCTGGGTGATTATAATGATGGAGAATTTGGTGGAATGAAGATTGGCAGGGGAAACCGAAGTACTCGGAGAAAACCCGCCCCAGCGCAACTTTGTCCACCACAAATCCCATTTGACCAGACCCGGGATCAAACCTTTGCCGCCACAGTGGGAAGCCAGCGGCTAACCGCTTCAGCTATGGCGCGGCTGTATAGAACATAATACTTACAATCCAATGATGAACATGCTCAAGCAATAAAATTCAAGAGAATAAACAGTACAATAAAGATTCTTAATGATACTCATATAAAACTGTATAAGACAATGACATGACTTGTCTTTTCATATGGATCGGAAGTTTGAACAATTCTCAATCCACCAATCCCCAACCAAGAGGGACGGAGGGAGGGAGAGAGAGAGACAGAATACTAGAAGAAGATAGGCCACTGAAATGTTTCCCAGTATTGGTAGCAAAGTTAACTCTAAGACAAAACGAGACTAAAAAAACTCTGCGGCCTACAGTCCACAAGTGAACTACGCTGACCGAGCGACCGCCACTTGTCAGTGAAGTTAGTGCCAACTTTAGCGGATAGAGGGTGTCGCGTGGTCAGTGCAACGAATCCCCACGACTGTTAATCTAGGTTTTCTAGACTGGAGCTGCTAGTTCCTTGAAATAGCTCAATTATCCTCACAAGGCAGAGTGGACCCCGTTCTGGACCCACTGCTTTCAGAAAATCTGGTAGCGCCGGGAATCGAATCCGGGACCTCTGGATCTGTAGCCAAGAACTCTGACCACTAGACCACAGAGGCGGCCTCATGACAAAACAGGCAAAGGTAAAAAAAAGAAAAAGAAAAGCTCACCCTGGGCATAATTAATTAAGCACCACACCATTAAGGCATATGGGGGCACCCGAGAACTAGGTGGGAGTAAGTGGTCAGTGCCAGGTTCCTGTCACTTTATGCCCAGGAAACACTCCCTTGTACCCACCGTATAGGAGACTGGGTGGGCCCAAGACCTAGTCTGAATGTTATTGAAAAGAAAAAAAAATCTTCCCCTGTAAGGAATCAAACCCCAACTCCTTGGTTGCCCAGCCCATAGCCCTTATTTGTTACAATGACTGAGCTTTGCTAGCAAAGTTAGCTATGAGACAAAAGATGAGTGAAGGTTTTAGAAATACTTACAAATTAATGATGGAATTTCAAACTATGGAAATAATTGTTGTGAAGACGTTGAAAGGCTGGGAGAACACTGTATCCCCTCACCCACAAAAATATGAATTATGGTCATGGAAAGGGGAACGTAAAAAAGGGAGGATTGACCAAAGGACATTTTAAATGAGAAAGAACAGACCATTAGGTCTAATCTTTGAAGTTGTTGTTCATTAATATTACTACAAACCTTTTATATTACAAAACAGAAAGTTAGCTGCCAAAGAAATGACACAGGGTGCTTGCATTCAAAACAAATTCAGAAAACGAATAAAAGCCAGGTTTAGAATTTAGTAGTCCTCTGTTAATATTAGCAGTTTTTTCTGGTGACATTTTCATGCCCACAGTTAATACTGTTTGAATGAGAGAAAAATGGAGGTTAGCAAATAATTTCATTACTGGTAATATTGTATTTTAGTGTCATATTGTGTGGTGAAATAATATTTTAGACCACCACGCAAAAAGTGAACAGGAAAAATATGTATATGTAATATAAAACCAGTATTTGACAAGAGAATACACATACCCTATGAGAACCTGGTTCTACTCTGCTTATCAAGAAAAACAATTATTACACAGGACTAGGTGTCTAAAAAAATAAAAACTGCAACAATAACAAGAATCATAATTAACCAACATTGGCTTAATTTTAACTAGTTCAAATTATCATATCTATTTTAACTTCAATAAAATTTAAGTAACCATAAAAAAACAACAAATTTCAAGGCTGATGCAAAATTAAAGGATGTTTATATTGTGAATAACATGTACCTTTTGGAACAAGAGAACAAAGGTTTCTATAATGTATAGTATTTGTTTGTCTATAACTAAAAACCTACACTGTAAACCTTTCTTTATAGTTCGTTTATGCACTTTTAGCGGGTCACAACAAATATTTCCGAGTCTTCATAACATGCCATTCCAAGCAGTAAGTACAGGCCTGTATTTACTGCTCGGAATGACAAAGGATAAATCTCTCGTCTTTTATACCGAATAATACCATTGGATGCAGTGAAGCCAATTGATGAGGTACTGATTTTTTTGGTAAAATTCAAAGTGCCTACAACTTCACTATTAGTGGAATATCAAAGTTGTAATTTTAACTCCAAGTTACTCTAGAATAGAGCATTATTTGCCATTAATTTCAAAATTTTTTGGAGCTTCCCCACCGGAGATATGAGATGTTAAAAATGGCCCAGTTTGGGCCCAGAGCAAAGTTTGGAAGCTCCTGGAAAATAAACACACAGTTCAAAGCTACGTATTTATATTCCCCATGTAGGCAACAACAGAGGGCAGAAACCACAGATTTGATACTTTCCCCCTCCCATTGGTTTTTGAAGGTCAAAAATAGCTGTTTTCCCAAAATCGACAGATAAAGTTTAAGCTTAATTAGACCTAGAGGAAGTGAGTTGAGTAAAAACTTGTAATGATAAGAACTGTAGTCCGTATCATGAGAAACAAACTGCTTTTATTGGAGTCTCTAGCTTCAACAGTTATCAAGATATAGAAGATAACGCAAACGTCCATTTTGGCCAAAAACACGTAGAAATAAGTGCACAAATCACAGTTTTTTTTTAAATGGTCAAGAGACCTATCTGGATGACTTCACATGGAATGATCCAGCAGACTTTACCTAACTCTCCCTCAATGATAGGAGCACTCTTCAAATTCTATTTTCTGCATGGTCAATACAATGAACTCAAAAGGTTACTCAATGCAGGGAAAGTTGCGAGTCCATCCTCCTTACTTGTGTCAGAGACACTTCCAAGCTCCTTCGCTGACAAAGCTCCATTTGAATTATGACTAAGACATCAACTTTCTGATGCCACTGTGTAACTGAATGTGGCACACATGGCTAGAATAAGTGAAGACAGAAATGGAATAACTAACCTCTACTCTCAAAACAACAAAACCTATCACAAAAGCCTAAGCAAACTGAATGGACAGTGAACCTGCATGTAACATATTATATGTTCATATCTTGAACATAAGATGAAGTTTGACTCAATAACCTCCATTAGCCTCATTACATGTCACATCTTCTAATTTTTATCAGAGTTCTATATACTTGTTTGAAGAATTCTTTCTCGAGTTTCTGTTCCTTGCTTTTCTGTGTGAAGTTGGCGACAAAGCCTGCGATTTTCTGCCCTTTTATCAATTTGTATTTTTTCTGCTTCAAGAATTTCCAATTTACGATAAAGTACTTGGCTTTCTGCTGCCTGCTGTGATAGCCATTCTTTGTATGAAGACCTCTGTGTGAAAAAAAAAAAAAAGAGTTCAGAAATGTAAAACAGCCAGGTTGTAAGAATTACATAAAAGGATTTGAGGTTCTCACAGAGGTGGTTATGAAGAGTTCTACTTTCTGGGGTATAATGTCATGCAGTCTGTTGAAAGTCAAACTGACATTTCAGACGAACATGTTGCCTCCATCCTCAGGGCTGAGGAGTAAGTCCAGCAAAAAACCAGTGTGAAGCACGTAACAAGCAAGCAACATGTTTCTCTAAAATGCTGGCTGACTTTCAATGGACTACATGGTGTTATATCCCAGAAGACAGACCTCTTCAATTATATACATGTTTAAAAACAAAAGTAACTGAAATTTGGTAAGTATGTCTTAGACGTCAACATAATGCTTACCCTATATTAACTAATTGAGCACTACACCTTGAAGATGTATGGGGGAGTGGATGTGTAAATCCACATTTTCTTGACCTTGGCACTAGTTTGAGGTGAATGGTCAGCTTTACGCTCCGGCCGCTTTACCCCCTGGAAAGAGCACCTGGTACCCATTGTATGGGAGGCTGGGTGAACCCCAGAGCCAGTCTGGACAACATGGAGAAGTGAAAATTCTTTACCTTACTGGGTCTCGGAATTCCGACTTCTCGGTTGTCCAGCCCGTAGCTAGTTGCTATACTAACTGCGCTATCCTGGCTCCTGCTTACCCTATTTTTCTTCTGAAAACCTATATAAATCAGAGGTCTAGCATAAACACCTACAGTCATGTTAGTGTGAATCATGAAAC